GGCCTGGCCCTATCAACTCTCCTGGCTTTTCTGTAGTTACGTGAGTTGCCTTAGGCATAATGGGTGTTGTTGTTATTAGTTGCAAAGTCATGTCCAACCCATGGACAACGTCCCTCCAGGCCTTCCAGTGCTCTACCATCCTGCGGAGTCCATTTAAGCTCACGCCGACTGCTTCAGTGACTCCATCCAGCCGCCTCATTCTCTGTCGTCCCCTTCTTCTATTGTCCCCTTCTTCTATTGCCCTCATAATAGCACTTAGACTTATATATCGCTTTATAGTGCTTTACAGCCCTCTCTATGCGGTTTACAGAGTCAGCCTATTGCACCCAACAATCTGGGTCCTCATTTTACCCACCTCGGAAGGATGGAAGGCTGAGTCAACCTTGAGCCTGGTGGGATTTGAGCTGCCAAATTGTAGGCAGCTGACTGCAGAAGTAGCTTGCAGTACTGCACTCTAACCACTGCACCACAGAGGCTCCTAGGTGAGGGTCCCACAAGTCGGACGTTTGCCAGTGGCCTTTGGATGCTGTCTAAATATGGTGAGAAAGACTATTTAATTCCAGTACAGTGAAGGGCAATTGAAGGTTCTCTCCTTCCTGGACAGGTGATCAAATCATAGGAAGAACTACATAGTTACCACAGCACTTATTCATGCTGTGCAAGTAATGGAAGACTCTATATTCCTTCTGGGGCAAATCATGGAGAAAACTCCTGGTGCATGGAATTAAATATTTTTGTTGAAAGTCCAACAGCCATCTGTCAACCATGCTTTTTAATGCATGCAGTAACCTTCCCTCAGGAGTGGGGAGGGAATGGAGATTTTACAATATCCTTACCCTGCCATGCCCACCAAGCCACACCCATCAAGCCACGCCGACAGAACCAGTAGCAAAAAAAATTTAATCCCACCACTGGTTATGTGAGACATTGGTAAAGCGAGTTTTGCCCCATTTTACGGACCTTGCTTGCCGCGGTGTTTAAGTGAACCGCTGCGGTTGTTAAGGGAGTCACACCGTTGTTATGTGAATCTGGCCTCCCCATCGATTTTGCTTGTCAAGAAGGTCGCAAAAGGGGATCACACAATCCCAGGATACTGCAACGGTCGTTAAGTGTGAATCAGTTGCCAAGCGTCTGACTCACGGGGGGGTGACACACAGTCGTAAGTGTGAAAAATGGCCATAAGTCACATTTTTCAGTGCCGCTGCAACATTGGTCACTAAATGAACTGTTTTAAGTTGATTACCTGTATTAGAGCTTTCTCCTTTCCCTTCCACCAGGTCCCCTAACTATTGAGCAATTATTACCTTCTTTTTAAAAATAATTTTGTATTTATTCTGAGGTAAACCTCTTGAAATATGTTGAAACGAAGGAGTCATTAAAACATTAATGTATCTGAATGTCTTCAAGAATGACCTTCAAGAAGAGATTGGACTGCCATTTATCAGAAATGGTGCAGGGTCTTCCGCTTGGGCAGGGGGTTGAACTAGATGACCTATAAGGTCCCTTCCACCTCTGATTATCTGTTATCTTTGAACTGGTTCTTAGGGCTGCGTAAGGAACAATGGGTGGTGACAAAGTGATCCATGTCTTCTCTCATGCAAACTTCCCTGACAGAACAATAAATATGAAAGAAGCAAATGCCTTGAATTGAGATTCACTTTATTGAGTTCAAATTTCCCAAACGCCACTTACATAAATCTCTATTTTCAATACTCGGCAAAAGGCGCTCGCCATAGACAGTACAAACCAAAACAGAACATCTGGAAATAAAAAAATAATTTGCATACAAATATAAAGACATTTGTCAGTAGGCAAAATATATATATATAGATCAGATTTATTAGGAAAGGCTTCAGGGAGTGGGAATAGATTCGTGCAAAGAGGCATCAGCTGGAGACTACATAAACATCCCGATTAAGGCTTAAAAAGGCCAGAAGAGGATCAGGTCTAAGGCTTTTTTTTTTTTTTAAATTCAGAGCTGTTGAAAAAGATTCAGGGTGAAAGCTGTTGCTGACATTGCCTGTGGAGGAACAGATAGTCCTTGACTTATGACGGGATGTTTAGTGACTTAAAAATTATTCTGGGATGGATCTACTCTGGGATCCTTAGGACCCAGATTTGACGTTTCTCTGGTCACGTGCAGGGGTGGGATTCTACTGGTTCGGACTGGTGCTATAGAACCGGTTGTTACGATTCTGCGCAGTTCGGAGAACTGGCAAATCATGCCCCTTTTTCCCTCCTGACAATCAGCTGCTCCGACTATCAGCTGTGCGGGGATCCCCTTCGCTGTCTTACGGCTTCGCCCAGGAGACAAAAAGGGACGCTCCGTTTTGTGCCTTCCCGGGCCTCAGGGAAGCCTCCTGGGAGCAAAAAAGCCTCCCAGGAGGCAAAAACCAAAAAACCAAAAATAACCGGAGCATGGGGTGCTGAAAAAAAGAAAAGAAGAAAAAGCCACACCCATCCCAGTCATGTGGTCACGCCCACCTAGCCACGGCCACAGAACCGGTAGTAAAAATATTTGCATCCCACCCCTGGTCACATGACTTAACTTTGGATGCTTGACAGGTGTTTGCAACATCCCACAAATCATGTGACCGCATTTTATAACTTGATTTCCAATTTTTTGGGCAAAATTACGCTCATAGCAAAGCCTGGGTTTGCTTCACAACTGCTACCCAAAAAAAAAAAGATGGCGAAAATGTTTTACATTTATGGCTATCATGACCAGGCTCCCATGAGGGTCGAATATCAAGGACTATCTGTTACCATTAAGGAATCTGACCTGAAAACGCTTCCTGAATAAAATTAGCAAGCTCTTTCTGGCTACTCCAAAGGTAAGAAAGATCAAAAGGCAGTCTGCAGCAGCCAGTCCTGGAAAAGGGGAACGTTAACTGGCAAAAGCCTCTGGGAGCACAATTATCCAAGGCCAGGTCTAAGAAGAAACTTAAGAAAGGTGTTCTAGGACTTAATTCCTAGCACCAGCAACACAGAAAAGGCCTGAGGTCCAGAGTCCTGCTCAACGATCTCACGGCCAAAGAAGAAATGAAGAGACAACTCATCCTACAGTACGTTACCTCATCTAATGCAGTGTTTTTCAACCTTGGCGGTTTGAAGATGTGTGGACTTCAACTCCCAGAATTCTGGGAGTTGAAGTCCACACATCTTCAAACCGCCAAGTTTGAAAAACACGGATCTAATAGATAAAGACTACTTGCTTCTTTCCCACAGTTCCATAATGGAATTACTCTCCTCTTAATCCAGATCTTGCACCATCTAGATGTTTTTTTCCCCTTATCTTTTGGTGCATTGACCAGGGAAATGGGAATGGGTAGGGGGTCCTCCAGGGCTCAGTGGAATACATGTATATCATGATTTCGCTTCTGTGAAATAAGGTTATCTGGAGATGATAAATTAATGGAGACTCCAAGCGGGCAAGAGACTGGTTGAATTATTAGATGCAACCATTCTGTGACTGATTGGCCCCATCATCACCTGGGAGACGCTTGCGTAAAGAGGATAACTCCTCAACCTTTCCCCTACAATCCCCTCGCATCTACTTCTCTATATAGAGAAAGTGGAAGGCTACCAATAGTAGTACTTAAGTGTTAGCCTTAGCACTTAGATACATCTTTTACAATCCGGACCATTCTCTCTCTCTCTCTCTCTTCAATATTACAACATTCTCTTCCTAAAGGATGCTACAAAGTGGCCTTCTAGATATTTTGAATTAATGCTCTCTACGCTTCAGAGAACGTTGGTTGCCTATGTAAAAATGCTGTCAATGTTAGTATAAGCCTATCTGTTCACAGTTTAATCATTACAGTGTCATTGACCTACATTTCTATATCAAAAAGCACAATCACTATAGAATGAAACTGAGACGTAGCTGCATTTAGGCACGGTGTGGGTACCACAAGGAATTACCCACCAGAATTTCCAGAACATGCTGTGGTTGGACTTCTGCCTTCATTTCAAATTTCCCCTTGTACCTTTCAATTATATTCCTTTCGTGCTCAGGGGGACTTCCAACCAAGAGACCAGGTTGGGGGCGGCTGTTTTAACAGAAGCTGCTCCAAAACAGAATTAATCCCATTTCTAGGGAATTAAAGAGCAAAGAGGTGGAACTGGCAGCATGTTCCTATGATCAAGAAAGGAGTAAAAACCTACACTGAAGACCAGAGGCATTTGGAGAAGGTGAAAGAATTGCAGTAGGCTCCATGCACAGATGGCAGAGTCATCCAGGATGGAAGGATGCCAAGAGATGGGGTCAGCAGGTAGGACTAGCAACCCCAAAACTAGTACTGTCCATCAAAGCATGTGGTTACTAGCAGCAATCCCTCTTGGGAAATCACATCCTAGGGCTAAAGCCCAACCTCTGCATACAGATTGGGACAACTATCCTTTCATGTTCCAGTTTAAAAAAAAAAAAAAATTCAAGGAGCCCATCTCACACTAGAGAACGAGCTCATAGTCAGGAAACACTACCTGATAGATGAACAGTCCTGGCTACCTGGTCACAAGCCACAAGAATGTGTTAATGGATGCTCTACGCCATTAAAGAAAAAAAATCTTGTTCTCTTTCTAACTCAGCTCTTCCAATCAGGAAGGAGAATTATAGTGACTTTTCCTTCACGCTGACTAGGATTCCAATGTGACATCTTACAATGGTCCTTTGAGGACTTCCTTCCTTTCCTTTCCTTTCCTTTCCTTTCCTTTCCTTTCCTTCTTTCCTTTCCTTTCCTTTCCTTTCCTTTCCTTTCCCTTCCTTCCTTCCTTCCTTCCTTCCTTCCTTCCTTCCTTCCTTCCCTCCCTCCCTCCCTCCCTCCCTTCCCTTCCTTTCCTTCCTTCCTTCCTTCCTTCCCTTCCTCAGTCAATGTTAGATTTTGTTCTGCTTCGCCCATCCTCTCCTTTTAACTTCACTCTCCAATAAGGTAAAATGCCATCATTTCCCAGCAGAGGGGAAGCCAGAACAGTGAGAACGACTCCCATAAACAGCGGCTTTACAGTCCTAGCCACACAATGAGCAGCAAGATTGTTGAGATCCGCCACCAGATCGTGGCATAAGGAGCGACAGCTCTATCAGCACCAGCACCAGCATCTGCCACCATCCTAAAATCATCTGGAGGTGTGGTTACTGTCTTGCCAGGAAGGGCAGGAGGCATTACTTCAACTTGGCATCGGTATTTCTCCCCAAGAAGGTTGGTGACCACCAGTTCTGCCTGATGTGAGCAGCAATCTGAGGTGTAAGAGACCACTTTCACCAGCCCATGGGCTTGGTGAGGAAGCACCGGACCGTTTTCCACCTGCACGGAGTGAATACCGGCTTGGTCCCAGATCTGCACGGTGGCTGTCCATCGCTGGCTGCGACAAGGGGACTGTGGGGGACCACAGGAATTCTCTGAAGATATGACTTTGCATACCGGGGATGAGATGGTCTCCAACTATGATTAAAGAACAAAAGGGACAAGTTGCAATGGATCAGGGATGTATAAACTCAAGGCCCATGGGCCGTATCTGGCCTGAAGGCTGCTTAGATTGCAAACTTGATTGCAGGAAATACGACTTCAGCAATAGAGTGGTCAATGTCTGGAATACTCTACCCGACTCTGTAGTTTCTTCCCCAAACCCCAAAAACTTTAACCTTAGACTGTCTACTATTGACCTCACCCCTTTCCTAAGAGGTCTGTAGGGGGCGTGCATAAGCGCACCAACGTGCCTACCGTCCCTGTCCTATTGTTTCTCTTATTCTTTTATTTTTCTTATATGTAACCATTTCATGTATTCACAACTATGTATACATTTATACTTATTATCTTGTAAACAATTGGCAAATCAAATAAATAAATAAATAAATAAAATAGATCTGGCCCATGAGGCCGCCCTCGAAACAGCAAAGGAGCAGCCTGCAGTGCCTCTGTTAGGGAAAACGGAGCTCAGGAAGGCCACGCAGGACCCGTTTTTGCTGGCAAAGGGCTTCAGGAGGCTGTCACAGCCAAAAATGGGCCCCAGGATGGGGGGGGCACATGCAGCCCTCCCCAGCTCCACTGTCGCTGGCAGAGGGCTAGCAAAACAAACTAAAAAACAAAACAAAAAGAGAAATGTTTCCTCTTTTGCATTTGAGCATGCAAAAAGGGACAGGAAAAGAGAAAGGGAAAGAGACACAGAAAAAGAAGGAAAGATGAGAAGAGAGCAAGGAAGGAAAAAATAAGGAAAGAGGGGAAGGAAGAAGAAAGGAGAATGATGAGGGAAGGAAAAAGAAGAAAAGAGAGGAAGGAAGGAAGGAAGGAAGGAAGATTGGAAGATTTTAATGAGAGTGAGTGAGGGTCTGAGGGAAGTCCTGCCTTTGCACTTGGCCACCACAGGTGCCCCCAACATGAGCTGAGTTGAGGTGGCCACGCCCACCCTGAGCCCCCCAAGGTCAAACACAACCCTGATGCAGCCCTCAATGAAATCAAGTTTGACACCCCTGCCCTAGATCAAACATTGGACTGGCAAGTGTTCAAGCACAGTCAACTGATTTCAGTATTTTAGTCTTAAATGATACACCTGGGAAAAGCAGATGCAAGTTTATTGTACTGTCCTTCAGTGAATCTCCCAGGCTCCATATCCAAGATGTTTATTAAAAAAAATGAGCAGATGTTTGTCAACCTCTCCCAACTTGTTGCCCTCCAGATGTGGTTGGGTTCTAGTTCCAGAACCCCTTGTGTATTTAATTCAAGACATCAAGAAGGAGCCTACTCACTTAAGAGTAGGCCACACACATGAATTCGTTTAGCTAACTGCTAGAGTCAAGAACTGGTTCGGCCCAGTTCAGGTGAACCAGTAGTAAAAAAACAGCTACTGGTTCGGCCGAACCGGTATTTCTTTCTTTCTTTTTCCTCCCAACAATCAGCTGTGCCGACGATCAGCCGTTCCAGGATCCCCCTTGCTGTCTTACTGCTTCACCCAGGCTTCCCTGAGGCCCATGAAGCAAAAAGGGGTGCACGGAGGAGGGGGTGCTGCTGC